CTCTAGCCTAACAACATCACAAATTATATCCATCGTTTCGTACAGCTGCTGCTCGTCCATGACACACGGGCTGTTCTCAGCAGTAGCCCTCGCAACCATGGGGTTCGGCTCGAACCCTGTGAGGACCTTCGACCCCCCTCCTCCTCCTCCGGGCCCAATGGAGGGGGGGGGAGGGGGACAAGGGGGAAGAGGAACGAAGGAGGAGGGAGGAGAAGGAGGTGGAGGAGAAGGAGGAAGGAGAAGGAAGATAAGTGAGAGGAAGAAGATGTGGAAGAGGAGGAGGAAAGGAGGAAAAAGGAACGGATATTTTGACTGCTAGAACGAAGCTGGCAAAAATGTGCCTCAAATAGCCTTCCGTCGGTGATGGGGCCGCGGGCACACTAGCAAGTCGCCTCCGCAGACCCCCAAGTCAGTCGATGACCCTCCTCCAGAACTCGCCCCGCTGCTCCTGTACATGGGAGCGGCACGCCTCACCGAGTGAGAGCTCATCGAGGGAAACAGAGAAAGAAGCGGAAGAGAAAGAGGAGAGGGAAGAAGAGGGAGAAAGGGAAAGGGGCGGCTGGGAAGGGCCAAGCGCACCCCCCCGACGGCGTACCCCCGGTGAGCTGTCGCAGCGGACACGGTGCCAGCCACGGTGGGCGCCAGAACGCAGCCGCTGCGCGACCCGAGGTGGGCCCGGAGGCCCCCTCTCCAGGGTACAGGGCAGTTTTTAATACATAGGATGTTTAAAAACATTGGATTTTCAATACATGATTAATGTGTGAGTAAATTGATGCATGAGCTCATCGTCGTTTTTAATACTAGATCCCTGCATTTGTAATGCATGATCCGCACGCGGAGCATGTATAAAAAACGGCACTCTACGCCTGCTCAGGGGTACGTTCGGCATCCCGTGGGGCAGGGGCTGGCAGGCCGACGCCGAGCAGGGGGACGCAGTGGTCGCGGTGGTCGCCACGGTGCTCGCCGGCGCCGTGGCCGCCGTGGTGGTGGCGCGTCGGGACAGGTGGTCGCGGCGACGGCTGTCCCTGCCAGCCGCGGCAGTCGTGGCGCGGGCGTGGTCGCCCCTGGCAACTGGCCCGCGGAAGGGGGTCAGCTGGTGGTGGCGTCGTCCGCTGGCCATCGCCTCCCCTGTGCGCTGGAGATCGTGTCCACGTCCCCTTGCTGGAGGAAGCGGGAGATGTCGCCACATGGACGGATGAGGCGTTCGGACCACTCGGCGTCCTCCAGGCAGGCGCTGCAGCTCAGCTCAATAGTTCTTCCGACGGTCGCTTTTCAGTGTCGAGCCCCGCTGGCGGGGCGCGCAACTCAGCTCAATAGTTCGTCCAACGGCCGCCCCCAGGTCTCGAAGACTCCGGAAACGAACTCCAAACCCACTGGCGGCTGGCGGGGGGCCCCAGCTTTGTTCATCGATCATCTGGGAGGCAGCGAGACCGTCTTTCTGGGATCGGCCGAGCCCGCGTGGGGCGGAGGCTGACTGCGCGCAGGCACGATCGGCCCATATCGACTCGGGCAATCGGATCGAACTGGGACGTGCGTCGGATCAGGCTCCTCCTCCTCCTCCTCCTCCTCCTCCTCATCATCATCAGCATCATCATCCTGCACCTGCACGAAGTCGAAATCGAATCGGATCGGCAAAGCCCAGGATGCCAAACAACGCACTGCAAACATCAGGCCGCCTCGGATCGCTAGAGTATCGGAACCACCCCGAATCGGCCAGCCGAAATCGGTACCGACCCGGATCGATCGGATCGAGATGGACCCCGCCTAGGAGGAGTGCACGCAGGCCACCGCAACACCACGAGGATAGGTCCGCCGATACTGAAGCCTCGCGTCGGAATGCCACCGTCTGCAGCACCCCCGTGCGGGGGACTCTCGGCGGCCCCGCCTGGGCACAGGTTCCTCTCTCGCTGCTGCACGACTCGTGATAAATTGCAGAGCTTGGCTTGCGGCAGGCCCACTCGATCGGCTGACCTTGGAGGGTGAAAGTGGGGGTCCGGCGCAGGGTCCCGGCAATGGTGCCTCCATGGGCCATGCATGGGCGATACATCCTCGACTGCTGTGTTCGGCGGGGGACCAATTGAAGCTCCCCGTCTGCACCCATGCGCGAGACTTGAGGGCAAGCGAAGCAAAGAGGCCTGTAGCGCCTGCCCGGCCTGCGCGGGCGCCTAGGAGGTCCGCGGCAGCGAGCCCCCAGCCGTTCTGGCGTGCCCACCTCCGTGAGCATCGCTGAACCGATTCCTTCCCCCACCAGCGTCGCCTTCGCCCCACTGACCGACTTACCCCCCGTCCCTGGATGGGAATACAGACTGCTCCCTTCGGGTCTCGAGCGGCAAATCCCCAGCTGGGGTGGTGAGATGGTGGGTCTCGGGATGAGGATGGGGATGGGATTAGGTCGGGCGTGTCCTCCTGCAGGCGGATTGTGGACGAAAAGTAAAGAATTGCCCCAAAATGCTCGGCAGTACTCAAGAATACCCGACAATCGACCCCAGACTGTTTTTCTACGTTTGCAGATTCCTCCTATACAGTCGGGATTGATTGGATAGGACACGCGATAGGACGCAAGACCCGTCCGAGGGCCACATTGCCATAGGAATGTAGGAGGCACGGGTCGCGACACACAGGGCACAAGGGTACCCTTGATTGGCAGGGTCGACCTACTAATCGACCTCGACTGTAGAGGGGCACGCCCGGCGGAAGGATGGGGATCGGTTCCGCGACACTGGACCCCGACAGCTCGCCACATCGTGGAGGCAGGGCGCCCGGCTCGAAGCGCCAGCTGCTCGCGCTGCCCGGGCGGGCGCGCGGCGCGCGCCAGCCTGCGGCCCCTGGGGCTTGCCCTGTGGGCCCCGTCGGGTTACGTGTTCCAGCGCCTCCCTTCATCCCGCTCCTCCTCCTCCCCTCCTCCTCTCCTCCTCCTCCTCCTCTCCTCCCTCCTCCTCCTCCTCCCTCCTCCTCCTGCTCCTGCTCCCTCCCTCCCTCCTTCCCCCTCCTTCCCTCCCTCCCTCCCTCCTCATCCTCATCCTCCTCATCCTCCTCCTCCCTCCTCCTCCCCATCCTTCGGGTTACATGTTCCAGCACCTCGCGTATCACTGTGTTGAGCCCCACCGCCACCACCACCACAGAGCCGAGCATCCAGAGGGACGCGTGGGGAGAAGAGCGCGCGATTGGCAACTCGTCGGGAAAATCTGGAATGACGTCGCACAGTGACAGCACGCGCACTTAGCGTGATTGCACTGTAGGTTGGCTCAAAAGTGGTGGGTCACGCGTCTTTGCACGCAGGTCCGTAGCAAGGTGAAGTAGGCCTCGGCCAGAATCCCCGCCCCTCGATTTGTCTGGAGATGTTGGGTGATGGCCTGCGCGCGCTGCGCTGCCGTGCCGTCACGCCGTATGGCCCTGCGTGCACCAGCACGTAGTCTTTCTGCGGGTCTGGCCAAGGCGCTGTTCACAACGAATTTCGGATGGTCGACTCTAAATGCGCGGGAACACATTCTGGGAAGACGTTCTGTCGGTCCAGCCGCAACGACAGTGGGGGCGTTGCTTTTGAGGGTCTGTACCACACATCGCTACGCCACAGCCACGTGCTCGCCCAGCGGCGCAAACACCATGATACCCTCTAGGCACGAGGAAGACCCTGCAGGTTGACGAGAGATTTTGGATCCCCAGGGAGATCTCGTTCAAGCAGGCAGCAGCCGCAATCGCAAAGAACGCGGGCAAGAACGGGCAGCCAGTGACTGGTCGTGACTGGTGGGGTTGCGTTGGTTGGCGTCCTTCCACTCTCTTCCTCGTCGCCTCGTGCCCCCTCCCACCATGACCCCTCCCTTGGTCCATCCTTCTCTTCTTTCCCACCGCCCCATCAATTTTCCCTTCTCCCTCTACCCATCCCTCAATACCGGCGTCAGTCAACCCTTCGATCGCCTTCACACACCCCTGCCTGCATCCTTCTGACTTCCCCCCACGCCATGCACCCCACGTACCCCTTCCTCCCGCCATCTCATCCCATTTATCCCTGCCTCCCCCCCCCTTCATGCACCCCACGCGTCGCTTCCTGAGCCTCCATCCTATAAATCCATTCCTCCCTCCCCCCCTCGCACAGGGCATAGCGCACCAGCCCTCCCTCCCCATCTCCCCTGCCCTCTGTTGCCCATCCATCCTCCATCATAGATCCATACATTCCTCAGAAAACCCAAAAACGCCATAAACACAAATTGTCGGAGCTCCGCGAGGACTTCTTGGACCGGCGCTGGACCCCCCACCCCGGCGCCCTCTGGCGCCGCCACGGGGGTCCATCCCCGATGCAAGCCGCGTGGAGCTCCGAACGTTTATGTTTGCGCAGCTTCTCTGCTTCGGCCCATCCACCCTCCATCCAGTATCCCTCCCTCCCTCCCTCCCTCCCTCCCTCCTTAAGGAGCAGAAAATCCACCCTCCCTCCCTCCCTCCCTCCCTCCCTCCCTAAGGAGCAGAAAATCCACCTTCCCTCCCTCCTTCCCTCCCTCCCTCCCTCCTTCCCTCCCTCCCTCCCTCCCTCCCTAAGGAGCAGAAAATCCACCCTCGCATGAGCACCCCGACGAGCGGAGCCGGTCGGCAGACGCGCCCCAAAAAAAAGGAATCGCGCAGGGCAGGGCCGTGCAGCGAAAACGCCCAGGTCCGCGCAGTAAGAGCGCCAGGGCTCGGGCTCGGGTTGGCTTCCCCTCCCCGAACTCGAGGAGGAGGAGGAGGAGGAGGAGGAGGAGGAGGAGGGCGGAGGAGGAGGAGGGAGGAGGAGGAGGAGGAGGAGGAGGAGGAGGAGGAGGAGGAGGGGGAGGAGGAGTAGGCCAGAGCGCTGCGCGAGCGCGCACCCGTGGCATCCTCCCGCCTCCGCCGCCCGCTCCCCTGCCCTTGCACATGCACACCGCCCTCGACCCTCGACCCTCGACCCTCGAGCCTCGAGCCTCGAGCCTCGAGCCTCGAGCCTCGAGCCTCTCTCTCTCGCCCTCTCCGTCCGCACTCCCGCGCAGCCCCTCCGCAGCAGGCGGAACAGCCGCAGGATCGAGGCCCCGCCCACGCCGCTGCCACCGCCTCCGCCGAGGGGGGGGGCACCCCTCTCCCAAGACGAAGCCAGGACTGGGACAGCATCGCAGGCGGGGTATATTGGAGAGGACACGCGAGAGGACACAAGACCCTTCCGAGGGCCACAATACCATGGGAATGTAGAAGGCATGGGTCGGCAAACACGGGACGCAAGAGCACCCTTAGATTGGCAGGGTCGACCTACCAGTCCGCCTCGACTGTGCTGGGATCGCTGAGAACCAGACGCCTTAGGAGACGTGTCGGGCAACGCGGCCGTTGGAGGGCGCTCCCAGGCGCTCTGCAAGCGCTCGGGGACGCTCTGTGGCGCCTTGTCCTGGTCGTAGAGCCGCCCGATCCCGGCCTTCCGCTCCCGAGGTCGACACGGTCATCTCCTCACCTCTTCATGGGCCCT